CTTATCGCGTCCTTTTACAATTACAACAGGTATACAGGGTGTTTCAGCCTATAATGCTCCGAAGCTCAGTGTAGGCTTGTATTTGCTCCACAAAGGCTGCGTGATGGGAAGGGGAAAAGGAAGGGAAAGGGAAGGGGAAAGGGAGGTGGGGGGGGGGTGTACCAAGCCGTGGGATTTTAGTGTACTCCTGTATATATGCAAATGTCTGAATTATTGAAGATCTGGAATTTGGGTTTCTCTGTGGGATTAGTTTCGCTTCCTTGTGTTAATTATGTTAAGAAATGTTGCGGTATTTTTAATTTGTTTCAGATAGATGAAAAGAAAAAATATGTGTTAGAGAAAGAAAGAGGAGATTAGGTAGATGAAGACACTGATAAGAGACAGAGACACAGACAGAGAGAGAGATAGAGAGATAGATAGATAGTAGATAGATAGAGAGAGAGAGAGAGAGGAGAGGATAGATAGAGAGAGAGAGAGAGAGATAGAAGAGAGAGATAGAGAGAGAGAAAGGAGAGAGAGACGAGAGAGAGAGAGAGAAAGATAATTTTACAGCCTGACACACAGACATACGACATAGACATAGAAAGATAAAAGAGGCACAAACAACCAAAAAGAGGCAAACAAACAAATAATCAACAGGACAAACAGATAAACAGAAGATCAGACAAAAAAAACACATCAAAGAGGCAAACAAACAAATAATCAACAGACAACAAACAAATAAACAGAAGAATCAAGAAAAAAAAAAAAAAAAAAAAAAAAAAAGCTCTCGACAAGCCTCGTCAAATTTCAAAAAAAGCTCGTCCGAAAAGCCTTTGCCTCCCCCCCCCCCCCAAAAAAAAAAAAACGAGAAAAACGCACTCATGAATATGCTAATATCTCCAAAGTGCAGCGGAACCAAAAAGTGCCTCGGAGATTACAGCATCTTATCTCGCGGAAATCTCATGCGGTCTCGGCCATTCGGGAGATGCGGAGGCTGCGACCGGGAGAGAGAGAGAGAGAGAGAGAGAGAGAGAGAGAGAGAGAGAGAGAGAGAGAGAGAAGAGAGAGAGAAACCGCATGATTTACCTGTGCTGTTGCATGGCTCCGGCGATCCTTCTCGGGCCGCGGGAAGCCCAAGTCGGGGTCGCGTGTTCGGGGGGCTTCTCTTTTCTTCTTTTGCTTTTTAATTTTATTTTATGTTATTCCTTTTCCTCTCGTTTTTTTCTCTCTTTTCCTTTTTTTGTCTTTTTATTTTTTTTATTTTTACTTTTCCCTTTCTTGTCTTTTTTCGTTCTTTTTTCCTTTTCCTCTTCATCTCCCTTTCCCTTTTTATTCCCCTTTCTTCTTCCTCCTATTTTTTTTTCTCTTTTCCTCTATTTAGTCTTTTATTTTTACTTTTCCTCTTCCTTGTCTTTTAATTCGTTTCTTCTTCCTTTCCTTTTCATCTTCCTTTCCTCTTTATTTTCCCTTTCTTCTTCCCCCTTCTACTTCTCTTTCTTGCATCCAAACAGGCCTACAACAACCGAAGATTCTTTAGTGTGAAACGGAAAGGAAGACACAGGAGAGAGAAATGTCATTGCTTGTTTACAGTCTTTTAAAAAGTGTCCAGGATGTAGGATGGTGGAATAAAAGACGAAGGATTGTTCGAGATGCGTGCTCGGAGATTACAGCATCTCATCTCGCGGAAATCTCATGCGGTCTCGGCCATTCGGGAGATGCGGAGGCTGCGACCGGGAGGGAGGGAAGAGGAGAGAGAGAGAGAGAGAGAGAGAGAGAGAGAGAGAGAGAGAGAGAGAGAGAGAGATAGAGAGAGAGAGAGAGAGAGAGAAATATCCGCATGATTTACCTGTGCTGTTGCATGGCTCCGGCGATCCTTCTCGGGCCGCGGGAAGCCCAAGTCGGGGGTCGTTGTTCGGGGGCCTTCTCTTTTCTTCTTTTGCTTCCCTTTTTTATTTTATTTTTATTTCATTTTATTTCTTTTCCTCTTCGTTTTTGTTTCTCTCTTTTCCTTTTTCTTTGTCTTTTTTATTTTTTATCTTTACTTTTCCCTTTTTCCTTGTCTTTTTATTCGTTCTTTTCCCTTTTCCTCTTCATCATCCTTTCCCTCTTTATTATCCCTTTCTTCTTCTCCTACTTTTTTCTCTTTTCCTCTATTTAGTCTTTCATTTTTTATTTTTACTTTTCCTCTTCTTGTCTTTAATCGTTCTTCTTCTTTTCCTCTTCATCTTCCTTTCCCTCTTTATTCCCCTTTTTTCTTCCTCCTACTTTTTTCTCTTTCCTCTATTTAGTCTTTTTTATTTTTTTATTTTTACTTTTCCTTGTTTTTTATTCGTTCTTCTTCCTTTTCCTCTTCATCTTCCTTTCCCTCTTTATTATCCCTTTCTTCTCCTTCTACTTCTCTTTCTCCCGTCCAAACAGGCCTCCTACAACCGAAGACTCTTTAGTGTGATACGAAAGGAAGACAGAGGAGAGAGAAAAGTCCATGCTTGTTTACAGTCTTTTAAAAAGTGTCCAGGCTGTAGGATGGTGTGAATAAATAAGACGATGGATTGTTCCAGAGCTGAGATGAACACCAAGACAATCGCTGTATGAGTTTGCATCTCTAGTATAAAGACGTAGAAAGGTTGATAATGTAATAATAATAAGGTGAGTCCACGTCGACTTAAGGATTCTATTGGTCGCCATCTTCCTCTGTGTGTTTGGAGGAACCTTGTAGTCCTGAACAAAAGATTAGAACTCGAGCACATTAGCCCACTGAGCCACTAATTACACAATAGCGAAAATTTACAGATCTGGTATTGCTAATTTTCCTTAAGACGCCAAACGTGGTGACTATGGACTCGAGAGAGCAGCACTCGAGCATCTTAGCCCACTGAGCATTAGCGAAACCCCACAAAAGCGAAATTTTACAGATCTGGTATTGCTAATTTTCCTCAAGACACCAAACATGACTAGGCATCTTAGCCCACTGAGCATTGGCGAAACCACACAACAGCGAAAATTTACAGAGTGGTATTGCAAATTCTCCTCTGGACACCACCATGATGACTGGCATCTTTAGCCCACTGAGCATTGGCGAAACCACACAACAGCGAAAATTTACAGATCTGGTATTGCTAATTTTCCTCAAGACACCAACCATGATGACTATGGACTCCAGAGAGCAGGAGTCATGACAGAAATGATAGAAGAAAGAGGAGGTAGCAACAGAGCGGTGATGATAGAGAGAAAGTTTTATGGTTAATCTTGTTCGTTTCTTAGACGAGTAGGTTTGGGATAGTCTTGAAGAGTATTGAAAAGGTGATTAGAGGAATGCTTGATTTAGCAGTAATGGATTGAAATTCGAGTAAGAGTATAAAATTCAGGGGCGATTAGTTGTGAAATCCCGCGTGGGAAGCTATGGATGGAGACTGAGACCTGTTCCTGGCGGTGAGTCCGGAGCAGCGTCCATGGCTAGGGAGAGTCCAGAAAAGTGAAGGGACGATAGCTTGGACGTCGCCGTGTTCTCCGTCGGGAGGGTCTCCAGATGCTCCGCCCACAATCACACAAGGTCAGACGCTATATCGGGGCCTTTGAAGTGCCCAAGGATGGCGGCCACCTCGCTACTCTGACCGCAGGGTATCGACGGCAAAGGATCAACTTGAGGTTACAAAAGGAAGCGGGATACCAACAGACCTTATCGAAAGCTATGCTAATTTGTTTCGAAGAGTTTGTTGGAGGTTTTATTCTGTTGGAAGGATCGGGAGTAGGTAGGTTAGTTACAGGTGATGGGCAGATACCTTTCGAGTATGAAGGGTGATCTGACAAGGTTGACAGTAATCAGGGGTAAGTACAGAGGCTAATTCCCTTGACCCTATAGATGAGGGTTTCCTAGGGTGTGAGATAGCATTGCAAGGGGTGCGAGAATTCCCAGGGGTTTGCATCCCTGGGAGTGTGAGATAGCATTGCAAGGGGTGCGAGAAGTGTTTATCTTGAAGACAAGCAATTAATATATTTATTTATTATCAAGAAACAGGAAGAAAAGAGCCATTGAATTGAAAATTCATTTATATAAACGTTTTCATGTTAAAGATTTTTGTAAGTAGATATTTCAAGCAAGTAATTATTTTTTGGAGGGTTTATTCAAATAATCTGGGACATGTTTTCTTGCCCATATGTTTGAATTTTGCTAACATATTAGAAAAGGAAAAAGTATGTTTTCTCTTATTGATCATATTTAGTATAAATTCACCTCCTTTATCCTTAAAATAATCTATGCATTTAAAGGGGGTACGAGGACACAGAACATTTTCTTAGGGGTGCGGGCGTAAAAGAAGTTGGGAACCACTGACATAGATTATAGCCGGATACAATTAGGAAAAATCTAAGACACATCTATTCAGTATTAGTTCATTGGTTTATTCCAGCAGGAATGATATTCAAAATCCATCACAGTCAATGCACACAACTCTCCTCGCCTTGTTCTCGGTCACTCTCTCTCTCTCTCTCTCCTCTCACTCTCTCTCTCTCCTCTTTCTCTCTTTTGCTCCTTTTTCTCTCTCGCTCTCTCTCACTCTTTCTCCCTCTCTCTCTATCTCATTCTCGCACTCTCACTCTCTCTCTTTTTCTCCCTTTCTCTCGCTCTCTCACTCTCTGCCTCTCTCTTTCACTCTTCCTCCCCCTCTCTATCTCATTCTCGCACTCTCATTCTCTGTCTCTTTCTCTCACTCTTCCTCCTCTCTCTCTCATTCTCGCACTCTCACTCTCTGTCTCTCTCTCTTTCTCCCCCTCTCTCTCTCATTCTCGCACTCTTACTCTCGGTCTCTGTCTCTCTCTCTTTCCCCTCTCTCTCTCATTCTCGCTCTCTCACTCTCTGTCTCTCTCTTTCATCTTCCTCCCCCCCCCTTCCTTCCATCCTCCCTCTCTCCCTAAGAGATAAAGCCACGTACAAATCTCCATTTCTCTTACCCCATTAATCTATGCCTCCTCCTGCCTCCCACGCCCACCTGACTCACCTCCTCTCTCCTTCCCGCCCGCAGAGGAGTCCTGGCAGCCGCCCACCGCCTGAACCTGACGTCCCACTTCCACTGGATCGCGTCGGACGGCTGGGGGAAGCAGAGTCACCTGGTGGAGGGGCTGCAGGACGTGGCTGAGGGCGCCATCACCGTCGAACTCACGAGCCAGGTACGGTTTTTTTTTATTTTTTTTTTTTTTTTTTTTATTATTCTTTTTTTTTTCTCTCTCTCTCTCTTCTCTCTCTGGGGGGAAATCATATCGAGTATGATTGTTTTTTTCTTTCTTTCTTTCTTTTCTTAGTTACTAGGTACGATTGTTTTTTCTTTATTTTTCCTTTTCTTAGTTATCTTATTTTCTTTCCTTGGGAAAATATCATGCTAGGTTCGATTTTTTTTTCTTAGTTCTCTTCTCTTCTCTCCTTGGCGAGGAAAAAAATAATTCCAGGTACGATTTTTTTTCAAATTATTTTCTTCGTTCTCCTCTGTTTCTCTATGTATGCGTATATATTCATATACATACATATTTATATACAGAAAATATATATGTATACATATATATTTTTTTCATATATATATTGTATGCAAATATATATATATATATATATATATATATATATATATATATATATATATATATATATATATATATATATATATATATATATATATATATATATATATATATATATATATATATATATATATATATATATATATATATATATATATATATATATATAATATATATATATTATATATATATATATATATATATATATATATATATATATATAATATATATATATATATATATATATATATAATATATAATATATATATATATATATATATATATATATATATATTATATAATATATATAATATATATATATATTATATATATATATATATATAATTTAATATATATATATATATATATATATATATATATATATATATATATATATATATATATATGCATGTGTATTTACATGTTGTGAAAATATGTATATATATATATTTACATATATAAGTATATTTATTTATCTATATATAAATATTTACATCTATATCTATATGTTTATATATATATATATATATATATATATATATATAATATATATATATATATATATATATATATTATATATATATATATATATATATATATATATATATATATATATATATATATATATATATATATATATATATATATATATGTATGTATGTATGTATGTATATTTGTATATAACATAATGTAATATATATATATATATATATATATATATATATATATATATATATATATATATATATATATATATATATATATATATATATATATGGTTTGTATGTGTATGAATTATAATATTTATAAAGCTAACATAAACAAGACCCGAAGCGCATACAAATGTACCCAGAAATTACCACCACCCAACCCTCCAGTATCGGGGAAGCGTGGACGGCAGCCGTGGCCTCCCGACGCCACCAACCGGAGTCTCCCTTGGTGCCTCACCTTATTAGCAACCAGAGACTCACTTCCCACCGTGTATTGGCTAATGAATCTTCAATGAGCGGAGAAATCCCTTGTGAATTCTGTATGAGACCTTCGGAGACTGGAGGCAATCAGGGTTTCTAAATAGAAAGACCTATTTCGTTTCCATGTAGAGGTGTTGATAAGGGAGGGAGGGAAGGGAAGGCGGGGAATAAGGGAGCGAAGGGGGAATAAAGGGAAAGGGGAGAAAATAAGGGAGGAAGGGAAGGGAGGGAAGGGGAGAATAAGGAGGGAAGGGAATAAGGGGGAGGGAGGGAAAGGGATAAGGGAGGGAAAGGGGAGGGAAGGAAGGGGAAGAAGGGAAGAAGCAGGAAATAAGGGAGGAAGGGAAAGTAATAAGGGAGGGAAGGGGAGAATAAGGGAGGGAAAGGAGAATAGAGGAGAGGAAGGGGAATTCAGGGAGGAAGGGAAGGAGAATAAGGAGGGAATAAGGGAGGGGGAAGGGGGAAAGGAGGAGGGAATAAGGGAGGAAAGGGGAAGAATAAGGGAGGGAAGGGGAAGGAGGGAAGGAAGGGGGGAATAAGGAGGGAAAGAGAAAGGGGAATAAGGGACAAGGGAAGGGAAGGGAATAAGGGAGGGGAAGGAAGGGGAATAAGGAGGAAGGGAAAGGGAGATAAGGGAGGGAGGGAAGAGAGAATGAGGGAGGAAGGGGAAGGGGAATAAGGGAGGAGGGGAAGGGTAAGGAAGTAAGAGGAAGGAAGGAGAATAAGGAGGAAGGAATAAGGAGTGAAGGAAGGGAGAATAAGGAGAAGGGAAGGGGGAATAAGGGACGAAGGAAGGGGAATAAGGGAGGGAAGAAAGGGGGAATTAAGGAGGGGAAGGTAAGGGAGAATAAGGGAGAAGTAAGAGGAATAAGGAGGAAGGAAGGGGAGAATAAGGGGGAGGCAGAAGGAAGGGGGAGAAGGGAAATAAGGAGAAGGGAATACAGGGGGAGAAGGGAGAGAATAGGAGAGGGAAGGGGAGAATAAGGGAGGGAAGGGGAATAAGGAGGGGAATAAGAGGGAAGGAATGGGAAAAGGGAGTGGGAGAATAAGGGAGAAGAAGGGGGAATAAGGGAGGGAAGGGAAGGGGAGAATAAGGGAGGGAAGGAAAGGGGAGAAAAGGAGCGAAATGGAAAATAAGGAGGGAAGTGAGAATTAAGGAGAGGGAAGAGAAAGGAGTGTTTGGATGAGCTAGAAGGAAGGGGGGAGAAGGGGAAAGAGAGAGATTGAGAGTATATAGATAGACGATAGAGACGAGAAGAGTAAGAAGAAAAGAAAGATACTTATATTTGAGCATCATTGCATCATTATCGTTATGATCATCACTGTTGTCATTATATATTCTTTTTTTATCATATTCTTAGCATACCTTTATCTTTATCATCTTCCATTGTCATCGTTATCATTATCACTATTGTGTTATCATTATCACTGTCATTATCGTTATCATTTTTATCATTATTATCATCATTTTTAGCACTAGCATTGCCATTACCATTATTATCATTGTTTTCATTATCATTACCGACACCATATTATTATTAACAATAATAATATTAATATTGTCGTAATTGTCTAATTATCGAACACAAACACAGTAAGACGAACAGAGATTAAAAAAAAAAAGAAAACAGGAAACAGAACCACAAAGGAAACGAAAATGAACCTAATGTTTTCGAACTCGCCAAGAGCTCTTCGTCAGATCGTATAACCGAAACGGATACACATCGAGTATTTTGATAAGATTATGTAGTGGGCGAAAAAATTGAAGCAAGAGCTGGATCAGGCCCTGGTATTGGTGTCAAGGTCAAAGCAGGGAAACTTTAAAATTTTATTTTTATTTTTAATCTTCCGTAGCTTTATTTTAAATACATCCTTTTTGTTCTTTAGAATATCCTGGACTCGAATGACTCATCTGAAGTAACGCTATATAGCCATGTATATCATTAAAAGATACATTTACAAATATGTACATAAATTGAAAAAATATGTTTTAAAGGTGCACACAAATCGGATTAAATACTGGATACTGCGCTATATTACTTAACACAGGTATTCAATTGCACTGAGTTAACAGTAACAATCAGGTTAACAATCCTCGTTAACACTCAGAAACGGTCTTGAGTAACATATAAAGATGCAATAAATAGTAATATCTTCTAGCGTTATCTATTTGTAGTTTATTTATTCATTCAATATCTTCCAGCTTTATCTATTTGTAATTATTTATTCCATTCTAAACTAAACAAGGCACTGATTACAAGTTGCAATATCAACAAAACGTTACAAAGCAACAGACACGCTAAGAATTGTGCAAGTCGGAGCTCGTGAAGCGGTCGCAGCAGCACAAGTGGTTCGCCAGTTAATTTCGGATCAACACCTCGCCGTGAAGCTTCGGAGCGGAGCGGAGCGAATCCCCAAACCTTATTCGCACAATAGTGTCTAGTACGGTGAAACAACACCAACCTTTCACAATTACTCATGGCGATTGTAAGGTTATCTGGGTCCCATTGATAAACACTTAGGTCGAAATTAGGTAATTATCTAATCAATAGCGCTCCTTACATTTTTCTTTCGTTGTGGGATATCCATTTCAGTTATTTGTTGGCATAATTAGGAGGTCTTGACAATTTCGAAACGTTACTATTTCTTTTTGTCTTAATTATCGTTATTTGATTATTATTATTATAATAATCATTATCATTAACATTGTTTTTATCGTTATCCACCATTTTTATTTTTTTATTGTTATTTTTATCATCATTATCATCATCATCATTATCCTTCTCACCATCATTATCATTATTATTATCTATTATTATGATTATTGTGTGTATTTTACTGTCACCATTACTATCATTATCATGAAAACTTTCATCAGTACCATTGCCATATTATCTTTCATGTCATTTTTTACTGTTTTTATCAATTTTATCACCATCATTATTTTTTGTTATTATTATTAGCATTATCGATGCTGTGTTGTTATCACTGTCACTTTTATCATTATGATTACTATTGTTATTATAATTATTATATTATCATATCTATTCATCATTCTCATCATTAGCATTATCTATTCATTATCATTACCATTTCATTAATACTTAAGAAAAATAACTATAATGACAATAATCATAATTATCATTATTTTTTTACTATCATTATTATTACTTCCATCATCATTATCATTATCTCAGAATTATCAATATATTCATTATTATTTGTGAAAATTATTTTCATAATTTCTAACACTGTCATTGTGGTTAGTTTTGTTATCATCATTGTTATTGCCATTGTTATTGTTATTACCATTGTTCTCATTGTTATTATCATCATTACCAGTATCAATATCATTATTTACATTATCATAATAGTCTTTATTATTACTTTTGTTATTATCATCACTACCAGTATCAATATTATTATTCAAATTATTATAATGACCTTTATCATTACTTTTGTTATTATCATTACCAGTATCAATATTATTCAAATTATTATAATAGACTTTATTATTACTTTTGTTATTATCATCACTACCAGTATCAATATTATTATTCAAATTATCATAATGACCTTTATTATCACTTTTGTTATTATCATCACTACCAGTATCACTATTATAATTCAAATTATTATAATGGCCTTTATTATTACTTTTATTAAATTATAATTATTATTAAAATTATTATATTAAATTAAATAAATTATCAATTTATTCAAATTATTATAATGGCCTTTCGTAATTATCGCGTGAAACATGAAATGTCTCTCGGCATAATGTCCCAGATTACATTGATTTTCAATTACGAACCGGCACCTATTCCCCCAGTAATATATATCCGGATTTTGTCACAAACATTTGCATATTTTCCGTAGCATTCGTTGTTCTTCGGAAGTCATTTACGCGATATATAAAACCAATCTATTTTATTTTGTTTTTTTTTTTTTTTTTTTTTTTTTTTTTTAAGGTCCTATTGGTCTCCGATAATTGCATAGAACATCAGTGAAGTTTTCTTTGTATTTATTTTATTTTATTTATGAAGTTATTACTGTCGCCTTCGCTATATTTCGATGGGTGTTTGTGTGGGTTAGTCACGTGTTCCTTTTTCGAATACGTGTATGATAGAGAGAGAGAGAGGGAGGGAGAGAGGGAGAGGAGGGAGGGAAAGAGAGGAGCGGAGGGAGGAGGGGGGAGAGAGGGAGGGGGGGGAGGGAGAGAGACAGAGAGAGAGAGAGAGAGAGAGAGAGAGAGAGAGAGAGGAGAGAGAGAGAGGAGAGACAGAGACAGACAGACAAACAAACAGACACACAGAGAGAGTGAGTGAGTTAAGAGGAGAGAGGAGCGAAATGAGAGCATAGGCCTAAGACAGATGAGGTGCGGCCATCAAAAGACCTTGCATTCCACGGCATGGAGACTCCAACTCGGTTCTAAGATTCAGAAAACCTCTAATTCTAATATCTGTAAATTCCCCAACTTCTAATTCTAATATCTGTAAAAATTCTAATCCTGTAAATTCTCCATCGGTCCAGCCCACAAAACAGGCAGACACCGACCCATACACATCACAGGTTACGAATCTCTTTGACTAAATTCTACTGACACTTTGGCAAGCAGATCGAAACGTGGATGAAGGTTTAAGAAAGGGATTTGATATAAAACTACGAATTATTCGATGTATTAATGTGATCAGGTGCATCGTTAACGTCTGTAATCTGACTTCGGTCAATAACCTTATTATTATTGTTAACACACACACAATTAACAGTTATTGACCTGACTTCGGTCAATAACGTGATCGGGAACACTCGGGTGCACAGAAGGGCGTGTCTGAGTGTGTGAGAGTGAGTGTGAGTGTGTGTTTGTGTATGTGTGAGTGTGTGTGTGTGTGCGTGTGTGTGTTTGTGTATGTGTGAGTGTGTGTGTGTGTGTGTGTGTGTGTGTGTGTGAGTGAGTGTGTGAGTGTGTGTTTGTGCGTGTGTGTTGAGTGAGTGAATGAGTGAGTGAGTGTGACTATACGGAACAATTGAGAAAAGAAAATACATGTGAATTTCATTTGAATTCTCGCAAGCTTAAGACCGTGTATTGAGGTCCTGATGATGCTGAAGAGATGTGACAAGGTGATGTATGGTGCAACTGTCGTGATGTGCAACGTCAAGGAGAGTAAACCTGCACGTTGGCTTTTCTACGATTGTTGGGGGATAATGATAATATAATGGTAATGATAATATGATAATAACAATGATAATAAATAATAATTATATTCATAATAGCACTGATAATAATGATGATAATGATAATAACTATGATAATGGTAATGATAATGACAAGTATAATAATAACAATGATAATGACAATAATAATGATAATCATAATAACAATAATAACACTGATAATAACTATGATAATGATAATGGTAATGACAAGTATAATAATAACAATGATAATGACGATAATAATGATAATCATAATAACAATGATAATAATGATAATAATATGATAATGATAATAACTGATAATGGTAATGACAAGTATAATAATAACAATATAATGAATAACAATAATGACAATAAACAATGATAATCATAATAACAATAATAACACTGATAATAATGATGATAATGATAATAATAATGATAACAATAATGATATTAGTGATAATGATGAAGATAGTAATAAAAGACAAGAGATTCCAATCCCACATAGCCTTTTTTATGATTTTTGAAAACCGGATTTAGTTACATACGGTCTTACTCCTGGATAACGATCCTCCATTGACAATTAGACAGATATTGTATCAAGATTACAATTACTGAGGCAATTGGTTACGGTATTGATATTGATGAAAGGTATTGTTTGTTTTTTTCTTTCTTTATTTATTTATTTATTTTACAGTCAATGGCGACGATTCCGACATCAGTGATTTTCTTTTCTTTTTTCTTTTTTTTATCTTTTATTATCTTTTTTCATTCTCTCTTTACTTTTTTTTTTTTTTTTTTTTTATTCTCTCTTTACAACCAATGGCGACGATTCAGTGGTTCCCGATAGTCTCAAAATAAGATTGTGAAATATTTACATGTATCTTGGTTCACCATTTCTATGTGATGACTCTCTATCATCACAAAATTTTAGATGGATGTGAACAAATCTATCGTGTTTATTGTGGAGAACAATAAATTCAGCTCATTATTAAGAGAAACAATTTCGGAGGCTTTCGTCATACTCTGAAACCCTCTTGTGATTTACGTCTGTGCGAATATGAAACCTATAAGCAAGCGTTTGAAATATCTTCTGCAAAGCTTATTATTATTAGTTATTATTAGTTATGGATGGCCGCTAGGAGGAGGAGTTCTGAGCGAAATTGTGGAGAACAGAAGGAAAGTTTCTTGGGATTTTGTGAAATGAGAGATACTCGGAGAGATGACCTTTTAATCTATGTTGTGAAGCGTCTGGACTGTCGAAAAGGCCGGAAAAGTCACGATTAAATATTTACCGAGGTTAGAGACACATTAACCTCGTTCTGGTTTCACTTTTTATTTATTTTATTTTATTTTCTATTTATTTATTTTTTATTTTTTTTTTTTACAATTCCAAACACATTATCAACGAGAATTTCTGTACTGAATCCACACGGTATCGAATCATCCATTTCTTCTTTGATATCAACAAGACGGAAGAGAATAAGACAAGCCAATTGCCCTGTAAGAAAGTCCCTTAACGGAGAGGTGCGCCCTTACCCATTATATCAGAAATTCGTGTAATTACAGTACACTCAATTAATCATAGAGGATTATAGATATTCAGATATGTGCAAGATTATATTCGAAATCAGGATATCTTACACGGAAAAATAATGTTACTGGATTTCTCGATATCTTAACCTAGTTATCTATAAGGGATTTAAGTTTATGGATCTATCATTAAGTCAATTGCGTTGGACCATTAAGAGATTGTAGCGTCTGTCAAGTGGCTTATTCCTTTGCTGTCGATATACAACACAATACAATAAGTGTGTGGATGGGTGGGTGTGTTCGTGTGTACGTCCAGATCCGGTTCAGACGCAACGCTCTCTTAATTTGAACTATATACGGAGTGCTTCTGGCAATCTAATCGGAGGGAAAATGGCAATGAACACGTAGGATGATTCCACCATCCGATTCTTAAACCTCGTCAATATAAAACAACACGGAAAATTATCTCCGGACCTCGTCAATATAAAACAACACGGAAAATTATTTCAGGACCTCGTCAATATAAACAACACGAATATTTTCCTCCGGATCGCCGATGCAATTATCGAATTTCAATAAGGCCAATCAGGCTGTTCACAAATGCAAAGTGGAATTCGTCTCGGCCGCCCATGAGTCCCCAGGTGATCGCACGCCCATCTGTGGCAGAAGGGAACCTGCGCCCTTGCAGTTATCCTGGAAACAAGTTTTTTTTTCTGGTCTGTCAAACTCTCCCCTCTCTCTCTCTGTAATGGATATATATATATATATATATTATATATATATATATATATATATATATATATATATATATATATATATATATATATATATATATATATACATATATATATATATATATATAT